TCGGGGATATCCATGATGGATTTCCCCTGCGTCACAAAAAAAAAGGTCAATTTAATTTTTTTTAATAGAGCTCAATTTTTCATTATATTTTCTTTTTCTACCAATTAGTTTTAACAACTTTTGTCTGAATTATTTTTTACTTCCTTAATATTTTTTGAAATATTTAAGGAAAACTTGGTAACTTTCAATATTTAATTTACGATATCTCGGTAACAATTCGACGAAAGAAAGAATAGTATTAGACTTAATACTTTATTTATTATCAAGAATATATTACTATAATAGTGCCCTAACTTTTGTTAACTTATCGACCTTTGGAAATTTCAAAATTATTAAATTAACAAAAGTTAGGGCACTATTATAATAATATATTCTTGAGACTAAATAAAGCAAGAAAGTCTAATACCACTTTTTCTTTCGACAAATAGCAAGATATCGTAAGTTAAATATTGAAAAAGTTATCTAGCTTTTCCTCAAATATCTCAACAAATATTAGGCAAATAAAAGAATGTCTTAGACAACAGTTGTTCAAATTAATTGGTAGAGAAAAGCAGTGTAATAAAAAATAGGGGTTCCTATTTAAATTTTTCAAGTTGACTTCCAAATGACCTTGAAGGTCATGGCCAAGATCAAATTCAAGGTCACCATCAAGTCCATTACTCAATTTTCTACAACTTTTGTATTTAAAGTTTTTTATGAAAACTTAATCCTGCAAAATTATTCGGGAGGTCCGGTATTTTTAAGACAGTCTGTATATCGATGGATTCGATATTAAATGCTCTTAAATTTTTGTCCTCATAAACACTTAAAAATTTGCAAAGGTAATGGAGAGGAGGGAAGAGGAGGGGGTAAATATATTGCATTTTGAAACATTTGAATAGACCGGTGGAAAGAGTATAAAATACTATAAAACTTTTGTCTGAAAGACTTTTTCATATATTAGGTGCGCAACTAAGTTCTCGCTGTTTTTTTTTTTATGAAAATGCAACTTTATTGTGAAAAAATGGTTACAAATGAATCATTCAAAATATTGCCCATCGCTAGCGACAACTTTTTCCCATCTTTCTGGCAGAGCTCGAATACCGTCACGGTAGAAGTGTTCGTCTTTTGAGGCTTTCCACGAATCAAGCCATTTTGAGATGTCTTCATATGAGCGGAACTGCTGATTAGCCAGACCATGTGCCATCGAACGGAACAAGTAATAATCGGACGGCGCAATATCTGGGGAATATGGCGGGTGGGGTAGGACTTCCCATTTGAGCGTTTCTAAGTAGGTTTTAACGGGTTTAGCAACGTGAGACCGAGCGTTGTCATGCTGTAGAATCACTTTTTCGTGCCTCTGCTCGTATTGTGGCCGCTTTTCGCGCAGTGCTCGGCTCAATCGCATCAATTGAGTTCGATACCGTTCCCCAGTGATGGTTTCGTTCGGTTTCAACAGCTCATAATAAATAACACCGCCCTGGTCCCACCAAATACACAGCAAAACCTTCGCAGCGTGAATATTCGGCCGAGTCGACGACGTAGAAGCACGACCGGGCAGTCCCCATGATTTTGTTCTCTTTGGGTTGCTGTAATGAATCCATTTTTCATCACCCGTAACGATGCGATGAAGAAAACCCTTCCTTTTTTGCCGCTGGAGCAGTTGTTCACAGGCGAAAAAACGACGCTCAACGTCTCTTGGCTTCTCATAAGGCAAATCATAAGGAACCCAAGTTCCTTGTTTTTGAATCATTCCCAACGCATGCAATCGCTTGGAAATGGCTTGGCGGGTAACTCCTAATGCTGAAGCAAGCTCTTTTTGCGTTTGGCACGGATCCTCATCGAGAAATGCCTCCAATTCAGCGTCTTCGAAGGTTTTTGGCCCTCCTTCACGCGAACGGTCGTCAACATCGAAATCACCGTCTTTGAAGCGACGGAACCAATCACGGCACGTTGTTTCACTTAGAGCAGCATCTCCGTAAACTTTTTGGAGTTCTCGATGCGCTTCAGCCGCCGTTTTCTTCGAATGAAAGAAGAAAAGCAACACTTCCCGCAAATGACGATTATTTGGCACAAAATAAGACATTTTCACACAACCAAAAGTATATGACGCAAAAACAAAATCACTAATGTGTCAAAGCGGTTTGTTTACCATATGTCTAAGCTTGGTTCATGAAGGTTTGGTTATATCACAATCGACCAGCACTTACTACTGGAGCCATCTCTTGAAAAACAGCGGGAACTTAGTTGCGCACCTAATACTTCATATTTTAAGAGATATTAAATAAAAACGAAAAGTCCGCTTTTTTCAGAGTTTCGACCTCTAAACATCGAGATAAGCACATAAAAGAATACGTATCTTATGCTTTTTGATGCTCTATAAAATATCCAATGCCCATCAAAATCAATGAAGGACGGCCCCGACTCTTTCCTTGTCAGCGCGCAACAAGGCGATCATAATTAGTGATAGCAAATTTCAGCCTAGCGGCTCCGCGGCCACACGCAGTGGGCTAGAATATCTCTAAATGTGGCCAAAAGTCAATATCCGCATTGATCTAAAATAAAGTTATTATTGTATTTAGAATGTTTGAAAATAGTTATAAGAGAAATGTTATGTTGATTGGATTGTTTTTGTATCAGTCTTAATAGGATGAAATTATAAAATACATTAACACTTTTTTTAATTTTCTTTACTTTATCGTTCATATTTTAAACAATTATATATTATTTTTTGAACCTTTAGTTAACGAATATGATGAGCGAAGATCAAGAATGAAAAATATATAAAATTGGAGGAAATAAAAATAAATTATAATATATTACATTCTCTTTTGTTACATTATTACAAGTATATTAATCATAACTACTCATTTCCGATTTACCATTCCCCGTAATTTCACTTTCAAGAAAGAGCATTTTAAGTTATATATGCTGTTTATGATATATATTTTAAGAAAAAGTTTTTGCTACTTTTTGATACTTTTGTTATATAACGTAAGCAAACTTATGTAAACAAATCATCGCCTATATCTAAAGGCCCGTACTGTTACACTGCGATATTAATCAGCAAGTCAGTATGGACCTTTAGATATAGGCGATCATTTGTTTACATATGTAACATTTGCTTACATTATGTAACAAAAGTAGTAAAAAGTAGCAAAAACTTTTTCTTAAAATATATTGGGTGAGTGCAAAAGTTCGTGCGGAGTTTGTGAGTAAAAGTCACACAGTGATTAGGCAAACAAAAATCTTTATTCAATCAATGATATATTCTCCATCGTTTTCTATAATCTTTTCCCAACGTTCTGGCAGCATACGGATGCCTCGATCATAAAAACTGCGCGGTTTAGATTCGAAGAACGAGGAGACGCCGTTTTTTAAGGCCTCCAAAGAGTCAAAGTTTTTTCCATTTAAATAATTTTGCAATGACCGGAACAAGTGATAGTCAGATGGTGCGATATCAGGAGAATACAGTGGATGCGTTAAGACATCCCATTTCAGGTTCTTCAGTTTGCGCAGCGTCTTTTTCGAAACGTGTGGTCTGGCGTTGTCGTGATGAAAGACGACTCCCTTGCGATTTGACAAAATCGGACGTTTCTCTTTTATTTCTCGATTCAGATTGGTTAATTGGCGACAGTACTTGTCCGAATCAATCGTTTCGCCAGCGGGGAGAAGCTCGAAATAGATTATGCCCTTGCAATCCCACCAAACAGAGAGCATCACCTTCATCGGGTGCAAACTGGCCTTTGGCATTGCGTCACCATGCTCACCTGATTGTTTCCATGTCCGTTTGCGCTGAACATTGTTGTAGAGGACCCATTTCTCATCGCCCGTCACTAGTCGATCCAAAAACGACTCGTTATTGAGCCGCCCGAGTAAAGAAACGGCTGCAGAAATTCGCTTGATTTTGTTCTTCTCGGTCAGCAAATGGGGCACCCATATATCGAGCTTCAAATCGAATCCCATCTTTTTTAAACGCCGAAAAGCGGTTGATCGGTCAACGTTTAGTACTGTAGCAACTTCTTCTGTTGAAATTCGCGGATTATTGAGCACTAAAGTACGCAAAACATCGTCATCAATGTCAGAAGGTCGACCAGAGCGTGGCTCGTCTTCAAGGTTAAATTCTCCGCACCGAAATTTAGCAAACCATTTTTCCACAGTTCGTTTAGCTGGTGCTTCATCCTGATAAACATCCTGAATGTTTTTTACGGCTGCGGCAACGTTTATTCCCTTCCGAAACTCGTAAAGCATAACATGCCGTAAATGCACCTTATCGATACTCATTTTTAAAGTGATATTTCTCGAAGCAGTTTGTATGAAAACAAATGATTTTTTTTTTAATAACAGCTGAAGACGTCACCTTTCCAACGTTATATAATATGTAGATGGAAGTATTAATGACAACACTTTACGACGCTTATAACTCCATCTATTGAAACTCCGCACGAACTTTTGCACTCACCCAATATATCATAAACAGCATATATAACTTAGAATGCTCTTTTTTGAAAGTGGAATTACGGGGAATGGTAAATCGGAAATGAGTAGTTATGATTAATATACTTGTAATAATGCAATAAAAGAGAATGTAATATATTATAATTTATTTTTATTTCCTCCAATTTTATATATTTTTCATTCTTAATCTTCACTCATCATATTCGTTAACTAAAGGTCCAAAAAATAATATATAATTGTTTAATATATGAACGATAAAGTAAAGAAAATGAAAAAAAGTGTTAATGTATTTTATAATTTCATTCTATTAAGACTGATAAAAAAACAATCCAATCAACGTAACATTTCTCTTATAACTATTTTCAAACATTCTAATACAATAATAACTTTATTTTAGATCAATGCGGATATTGATTTTTGGTCACATTTACACATTTACAGATATTCTGGCCCACTGTGTGCCACGGTCGAAAGGGAAACGCATACAAACGAAGGCCGCGTACATGTGCCACATATATGCGGCTTTTGTTGTGCGTTTCCCCTTCCACCGTGAGATGCGGAGCCGCTAGGTTGAAATCTGCTATCACTGATCATGAGTAAGCTGTTTCGCTCAGGGTGCGACAAGGCGAGCATGAACGGGCTATCTCAATCTCGCTCAGTGCGCCAAGCGCGTGAGAAGACAGAGAAAACCGAGTGGTGGGGGTAAGTCTCGACCGTGCGTCTAAGAATTTCCAGCATTACTTGTGCCTGTGTCGCATGTCTCACTAGTGGTGAGACAAAGTCAAAGCGATTCAATTGTTATCCTTTTCTTACACATATATATATATATATATATATATATATATATATCATTCAGGGTTGGGAAGTAACGCGTTACTTGTAACGCCGTTACTGGTATCGTTACTTTTTTGAGTAACGATTAGATAACGCCGTTACTTTTTGGTGTCAGTAACGAAAAAGTAACGGTGATACATTTTTTTTGTAACGAGTAACAAAACGTCCGTTACTTTAATCGTTACTTTTTAATTTTTATAAAATTAAACTTAATTGTATTTAATTTCTATGCATTTTTTGTTTTATGCTGAATTTAATGAGAACCAATAAAGATGGACTCACATATTGTCATCCATTGGCCTTAGTTATACAGAAAGGTTTAAAAGAAAGGTAAGTTGGTGTAATTTGGTTAATACATATGTTCATCAAACAACATTCATCTGATCAAAAAGAAAATCAATATGTTCAATCAATATTTAATTTTATTGATTCAACTTTAGGTTTTGTACTACATTTGAAAAAGAAGAATTGATAATTGCCAGCTGTTTGCATCCCAAATTGAGTTGGTTAGCTGAAGATAAGTGAAAACTTGCGCAAACGTATTTAGAAGATTTATAAGGAATTCCTTCAATTAAAAATTTTTTGATATCTGATAAGCACAATGATAACGATGACTTTTTAAATTTTAAATAGCAAACATCAAATGAGAAATCTGCCTATGATGAATGGCAAAGATTTTTAAAGTCAACAGGCACTAATGTCCAAATATTAAATTAATTTATATCCACTAATTAAGAAACTTTTCATTAAATACAATACTTAATAACATAAAATAATAAAAATATTTAAATATATATATATATATATATTTCTAATCGTCTTATGTCCGATTTATATCTTGTCTTAGCACCTTTCTTATAATCTTGGATTTACAACAAAAAAAAGTAACGGAAAGTAACGAAATAAAATATCGTTACTTTCAAGTAACGGTAACGCGTTATTTTTTAAGATCAGTAACAAATAACGGTAACGAGTTACTTTTTACCGAAAGTAATGGTAACGGTAACGAGTTACTTTTAAAAAGTAACTTCCAACCCTGATATCATTTTCACTATAGTCTGTTTTAGTAGCTCGGGCATTAACCAGACTCAAATCATAGACATAAACCTCGTATCGTTACCGACATATCGAGTTAGTTGACGTCTATTTTCTCAGGGGGCGTATCAGGACAGACATATGCTTTCGCCCGCTGGCCGCTCTCAGGTTTCTCTCTGTCTACATCATACTACTGGGAAATGGCGTATGGACATAGCTGTATGCAGTCCGGAGCTATATAACGAACTAAACTAATTAAACTAAACTACCAGTCTAGTTATACTATAGAAGTCTATGGAAAAGACTTAACTTTGTTCCATTCCTCTATCTATGCACCTTGGAGCCGAATATGCTGGCAGTTGGAGCTGTATAGTGGGTGGTCGGTTATTAGGAGCCGTACAATGCAAATTCGTAACGAGTGGGTGTTAAGCTCGTTACATAGAGATATATTAAATACCAAAAAAATGTACGTCATATTTTTACATTAATTACCTATTTTCACTATCTAGTTTTATGTAATTTTTTCCTCGGATCAAATTTTATTATGGTTATAGATATTGAAATAAACTTTTAGAGTTATGTATTAAAAACTTATATAACCTGAACTTATATAACTGAATAACAGCACATGAATAATAAGAAATAAGTACTATTATAACAGGACTCTTTATTAGATATATCATCAAGTTTCTGTTATAAATATTATAATATCGCAATATACATACATATATGCATCTAAATAAACTTAAAGTAACTTTGTTACAAAAAACGATATATTTCAAGTTTGAATGTATATAAAATTAATTTAATTAATAATTAAATAAATTATATATGTGTGTGCATGTGTGTATACATATATGTACATATTAATAAAAGGATTTAATACATACTATTATATTAAGTAAAAATTATGCTTAATAAACATAGATCGAAAAATCACCTCTTTTAGACTTGCAAATTTTTTTCGGTTTTGGCAACATATTTTATGAAACATTTTATGAAAATGAACATCTTAATATTTTATTTTATATATATGCTTGACATCTTCATATTACAGAATTGCAAATTCTTACAAAAATTATTGGTTTTCCTTGAATCAGTTTAATTGTGTCTTGAATTTTTCTTATGTAATTCTTGTACATTATTTATCAGTAAAAAACACATTAAATTTTCATAAAGGAAATTAAATGGATTCATATCAGGAAATCAAGAAGGCTACAGGTTCGCCTGATTCTCCGTTCTAATTTATACCCTGACAAATGTGTCATTTAAATATTCTCTAATAATTAATACAAAATGTATAAAGATACATAATGTACAAGAATTATATTAAAGAATTTTTCTCTCTCTCTCTTTGAACTAATTCGAGAAACATTAGGAATTTTTGAAAAATTTCGCAATTCTACAATATGTTAATTTTATAATGTTAAATAGATATAGTATATAGAAATAGATGAAGTATATATAAAATATTTTTTTTAAACAAAGTAATAATAAAATAAAATAATATGGTAAGATATTGGTTCACTGAATTTGTTATGAAAGCCGAAAAATATTTGTAACTCTGAAAGGAATGATTTTTCAACATCTGTTTACGGGGCTCTTTTTACTCAGTATAATGAATATTACTTATTCTATAAGTCCTGAAACTTTCTTTCAACACCTTGTAATATGTACACACACATGCACACGCACACGCACGCGCGCACATACATACACCACATATATCGTGCGCATGTACATTCATACACAGTATAATTTCTTTTTTTGTGAAGATGTTAATTCTTAGAAGTGAATAATATACATTTAATTATATATGTGCCATATGTTTAAAATATTTATTTCTAATTGTATATTAGCATAAAATATTTTAGTAATTAGAAAGCAATTGATGTAAAATACTTTTTCATAATGTCTTTATATATATATATATATATATATATATGTATATGTATTTCACTTTTAGCAAGTCACATGTTATCATAACTCTTTTTTTCTTTTACAAATAACTATAACATAGAGCAGCATGTTAAACTGTTTTTATAATTACGACAATAATAATTCTTGTGATAATATAAGTGTAATAAGCTTGTGATGATAATTCTTGATACATTTCGCGCTAACAATTAAGTAACTATTAATTCAAAGCGGTTGATGTTAAGACAGCGACCCCTCTCTCATAGAAACTGTGCGGTTCTTGACTAGGAGCAATATTTAAATCGACAGTAAATAACAATTCGGTACGAGTACTATTTAAATAAACCGGTAAGGACAATTTGCCTTTTCTAATATCCTCTGTAGAAGATCGTACCCACCGCAACATTGTCACCGGCAAATCAGTCATAATAGTCGAAGTTAAATACAATTGATTATCTTTACATTGCGCACCTTGTAATTTTAAACCGGTAACAGCGAAAGAGCAATCGTCTGTGGCAATATTATCTCCATCGCCGATAGTTACGTTCAATTGTAATTCTTCGAGTGACCAGCTATTAGCCTGTGCGATACACTGTCTGGTCGCAGTAATATAAGCTTCGGGATTCAATAAGCCACCGAGCCAAACCGGAAAACTCTGTAATGATATATTGAATGTAATGAAATAATGATTAATCTTGTATAGTACAGTTCCCTATATTAATAATATTAATATCCTTATATTACTAATAAATAATATTATTTTCGTAAAATATGATATAAACAAGAACAACTTATTTAGAGATAATTTAAATATTTATAGATAAATAGGAGTTAGCATGTCAGTGAATAAAATGCAATACAATTGCATATAAATATTTTTCAAAAATCTGCTTCAATATTTATCTCAAATCCTAATCCTAATATTAAATTTTTATTAATGATTAGAAATACACTTTTTCTTCAACTTCAACTTTTCTTCAAGCATCAATTTATGACAGGATTATAATTAAGCATTAGAAAAATCGAGATTTCTAGAAAATACTTCTCAAAACACTTCTTTCACAGAATTATCATATATATATTTCATACTTATCTATAGTTGTCTATACTAATGCATACAAGTAAATAAGCACATATTACAACACATACTTGTCTATACTGTTATTTTTTAGATTTTTAATCCTTGAGCTATTTTTCTATTTATTTAAAAATGTTATATAAATAAGTTTAATAACAAAATATTTAACGCAATGAATAAAATGAGTCAAACAATTTTGAAAATATGGAAACTAACTTTTATTTCCTTTGCTCCACCTTGAGATACTAAACGCGAAACTTCCTGCAACTGCGAAACTCTGTGACTGAAGTCAGTGATCCATTGTATAACTGTACAGCCTCTTGGTACAGTATATCTTCTCCATCCACCAGGCAAAATACCTTTTACTAACTCAGACAACATTGTTCTATGATAATTGGTCTGTTTTTTCTCGCCCTGTTTAAAATAAAATGTTATTATTTTGAATAGACTGATCGAAATATTCTGTTTTATACTTGTTTTATATTGAAGAATAAAGTATGCATACTTGACAAATTAATACGATATCTTCCAAATCGTGTATGACATCTTGAAGTAATTTTGCCCCGCTATTAACCTCTCTCTCAAAGTATCTATATAAAGGATCTTTGATATTCTCAACTGTTCTCTTCAAAGTTGGCAAATTCTTTGGAAGTAACTGTAACCAAGTCGAAGCTGAATTATGTAAGGTCCTCATCCACGAAGGTCGGCCGTCTGCTTCGGCTTCTCTTGGTGTATCCAAAGATTCTTCATTTGAATATGCTAATTCATCTTCATCCTCTAGCTGTTGCATCTTGAGAAGCTTGGAGACCAAATCGGTTCCCCTCGTAGTCAAGAGCACTTTCTCCGCGTTATTTGGTAGACCAAGCCAAGAAGGTGTCTGTCTGTCTGACAAAGACTCGATCCATTTTAAGAAATGATCTCGCCTAGTACCATCTGGCATCGTAATGTGCCTTTGATTACTTTGCGCGCCGTCAATATTAGCAACTAAAGCAAAGTCAGCCTCAAACGAGCGCGGTGTAAAGAGTTTACGCAAGAAGGATGCCAGAAGACGTTGATCGAAATCGTTATCAATCTTACCACCGTAAATACATTGAGAGAGTAGAGTTACTAGAGCATCCCAAGGCACCTTTTCGGGTGGCAAATTTGTTCTGCCCATAGCCGTAGTCTCGATCCATGTGTCTAAGGTATCGCAAGCAACTCTCAGGTCGCTTTCGTTAAATTCATAGTGTTTGGCCCAGCCTAGTGGCGCATAACGCAACCGTTCTTGCACAATCGCGTGGAACCATGCGAGCAAGAAATAGAGACGAGCTCTTTCGTTAGGTGCTCGCATCATTCTTGAAGCAGGTACAGTGCTGAACGTACGCAATAAATTCGCTCGTATACCAGGAGGTGGTTCAAACACAAAGATCCTCCCGGCTCTAAGCAGATTCACTGGCACTTTAGGATTAATCTCCATCGTTAAGAAAAGACGAAAACTAGTATGTGGTTGCAGACTGTGTAGTTTCTTTTCCAATTGTACTAACCACTGTGGTGCAAGATGTACGTTTTTCAGTAATACCCATCTGCCAGCTTTCACGGCCATGTTAATAGCTCTGTCGGCCTGATTAAATCCTTCCGCCGATCCGATAGCAATACTAGCTATTTGTTTGCCCAATTCCGCAGCTAAGTCATCCACTCTGCCGGAAGCATCGAAACCTGGCACCGAGCAAAGTAAAGCCGGTACAGTCGCCTTCAACTGATTCTCTACGACGGATGCGAAATCAAGTTCTGCTTCTGCGCTCGGCATGAAGGACTCGCCGAAGGCGGAAGTCATTACTAAGGACGCAGCTGCGATTACACGATCTGGTCGGAATGCTTGTATTATCAGCAGTTCATGCATCGCCGTTCCCGTTGATGATAGCGGTTTTTCCTCGTCCCAAAGTTTTGGCACACATGTCTCAGGTGTAGGAGATTGCAGCCACGCTCCAAATTCCACATTTTCTTGGATCTTCTCCGTAAGCTTCTTAAAGGCAGGTAATCTTATGCTTAAACGCATCATCGCCTCCTGTTGTTCCGAACTAAGATTAGGTACCGGTGGACCTCGAATATTAAGTACACCTTCTTTTCCACGCAGGAAAAATGTGAATTCGCTGTCATAAGTGGATTCTGTCGGTATACCCTTCAAGTGGATACGACAGAGTAAAAGAGCAAATGTTAATCGATCCATATGGAGCATTCCTCGAGCGACTCGCTCATAACAGACAGCAAACAAGTCGCGTGTAATGAGTGACAATCTCTGAGTGTAATCTGACAAACCGGATAATTTCGGATTTTGCGACAATACAGATGTAAATATATCTAAAAACATTTTCAACGAATACTGATACAAAAAGTGTACTTGGTTGAGGCTGTCCATCGTAAAGTACATGTTAGAACACGCCTGGGACAAAGGCATGTATTGCTGAGAAACTGTCTCGATTTCTGCTATGACCTTATCCGTCTCTTCTACCTTTTTGCTGATATCAGCGGCTTCTTGTTTCAAAGTTTCGAGAGTAGTAATCACAGAATCGTCATCTAGAATTTTGCCTTTGGCATCGTTCAACGCTTGCAATAAGGACTTCTCAAGCTGCCGCAATCTCAAGTGAAACTCTCCCTGAAGTTTCAGCAAATCAGATCTTTTCTCGTCAATGTCGGGGCGTTCGGCCTTCAGCACTTGATTCAAACATTGACTTTGCAATGAACTCCTAGTAACAGTGAAGTTTACGAACGTCACACGCGAGCAAATGTCTGGTGGGAATTCTACTGTTGGATCTCTTGTCGACAAAAAGATCACGAAGGATGGTGAGAGATCTATATCTTGATCACCGAGCGTAATCAACACACGTCCACCGGTTCGTCTCAGTTCCCTGTTTAACACAGGATTTAGTATAGGATCATAATTTTCTACATCCTGGACCAACAAAGGATTACCGAAACGTAAAGCACTTTCGAGATTTTTTCTGAATGAATCATCCAAGAAGCTGGTCTTTGTAATCTTCCGGTCCTTAAATTCATTCATGATAAATTCTGTCGCTTGACCAGAAGGATCGATGATCAACGGGTATCTATTAAAGCGTTTCAGCATAATTGCATTTTCAGTACATAGATCATCAGTAGGTAACGCGTTCGCTTGCCATCTTAAACGCTCATCTGGATTAGAAAGATATTCCGTTCTCGCGATATCAGGTCTAAATTGTAAATTCGCATGTTGCAAATGTTGGCACCATGTGCTAAAGAGATTTTGACGGTACTAAAATAAAATAAGCTTCATTGTAAAATTAACGAAATTTGTCACTTCAAACAGAATTTAATGAACCACTAGAACTTACATGTTGATCGAAATAACCAGCATAAGCTAAGAAAGCAGAAGATAGCAGAACGTCTCCGATTATTGTAGACATTTGACTTTTAAATGTTTCACTCGTTGCTTCCCATCTTTCTCTTTCTATCACCAAAGATTTTAATAAAGCAATCGATCTATCCACCTTGGCTTGCACACTCTCCAAGTCAGCTTTAATGGCTTGTGCTTGCGAGATGAGTTGCGCATATTCTTCCTTATATGACGCTATACTCTGCTCTAGTTGAGCTATCAAATCCTTCACTTCTTCACCTTTCAGTTTATTAGTTTCTGCTTGTCGTTCCAGGGAATGAAGTTCATCGCGTAACGGTTCGACTCGTTTTAACATATCTGCGTATTCAATCTGAAATAATGTTTATTTTATATTTTATTTCGAACGTGATAATATAAATAAAATATTAGATGGATTATTTTAAATAAATCAGTGAAATATATATAGAATGTTCAAAAATAATCATCTATTTCAAATAAGAGAAATTATAAGAAAAAAATAAACACCTTCATGACATGATATTATATATTTATATATTTAAATAAAATATATCTATTTTAAAATGAATATCGGTAAATAATGAAATCTCAAGTAAAAAATCTAAGGACGTTAAATCTGAAGATTACGTTGGTCAAATGCAAAATACAATTAAAAAATTATAAATATGTAGGTATTATACAGGGTGGGGTACTAACTATTAGGACCTTAAATATCTTCGAATCTATAAGACCCAGAGAAAGATTTGTGTAACCAAAATTGCACGGCATGAACGGTGCTATCATATAGCGATAATAATTTTTATTCAGGTGGAGGCGCTTCGGAGATACCAAGGTCAACTTGCGTTTTTTAAGTGAGAACTCTAATTTTTTATTATACTGTTTTTTTCTACCAATTAATTTGAACAACTTTTATCTAAAACATTTTATTTGCCTAATATTTTTTTAGATATTTGAGGAAAACTTGATAACTTTTTCAATATTTAACTTACGATATCTCGCTAACTATTTGTCGGAAGAAAAAGTGGTATTAGACTTTCTTGCTTTATTTAGTCTCGAGAATATATTGTTATAATAGTGCCCTGGCTTTTGTTAATTTGACGATTTTTAAATTTCCAAAAATCAGCAAGTTAAAAGTCAGGGCGCTATTGTAACAATATATTCTTGAGACTAAAAGCAAGAAAGTCTAGTACCACTTTTTCTTTCAGCAAATAGTTAGCCAGATATCGTAAGTTAAATATTGAAAAAGTTATCAAGTTTTCCTCAAATATCTCAAAAAACATAAGGCAAATAAAATGTTTTAAATAAAAGTTGTTCAAATTAATTGGTAGAAAAAGATAGTGTAATAAAAAATTAGGCTTCCCATTTAAAAAACGCAAGTTCACCTTGTCAACTGGTATCTCCGAAGTGTCTTCACCTGGACAAAAATTATTATTGCTATATGATAGCCCCCTTCGTACAATTTTGGTTACACAAATCTTCATCTGGGCCTTATAAATTCGAAGATATTTAAGGTCCTAATAGTTATTGTCCCTGTATAGAGTATCTCTAAAGTTCGACCCCACTCCTGGATCTTGGAAACGGCTTTAAATATGGAAAAATGTTTCGGATAAAAGTTGTATGGTTTCAAAGTCGACGTATAACAACTATATCATTTTGTTTACAGATGGCGCCACTTTCGAGATATTCACTGACCATTACTTTTCTTAAAGGGAAACTCCAATTTTTTATTATATCATCTTTTTCTACCAATAACTTTAACAAGAATATATTGTTATAATAGTGCCCTAACTTTTGTTAATTGATAATTTTGAATTTCCAAAAATCGATGTTAACAAAAATTAGAGCTACTATTGTAACAATATATTGTTGAGACCAAATAGAGTAAAAAAGTCTAATACTATTTTTTCTTTCGACAAATAGCGAGATATCATAAGTTATTAAATATTTAAAAAGTTACCAAGTTTTCCATAAATATCAAAAAATATTAAGCAAATAAAAAAATATTTCAAACAAAAGTTGTTAAAGTTAATTGGTAGAAAAAGATGATATGATAAAAAATTGGGGTTTCCATTTAAGAAAAGTAATGATTAGTGAATATCTCGAAAGTGATACCATCTGTAAATAAAATGATATAGTTATTATATGTTCCTTTTGAAACCATACAACTTTTGTCTGAAACATTTTTCCATATTTAAAGCTATTTCCGAGATTCAGGAGTGGATTTGAACTTTAGAGATACTCTGTACGAGTATATAGAAATGTATATTCAGTATCATGTACCATGAAAGAAGGAGGGCGTACTAGGTGGCGACGGGACGCCGTGCGTTCGGGACCTGCATCTCATTTTTCGTTCCGAGGAGAGAAAAATATCGAGAGCGCGGTAAGTCGCTAGACCAGGAATCGAACCCGGGTCTTTCGCTTGCCGGGCGGCTGCTCTAGACCACTGAGCTATCTGACGCTCCACGCTCACGACACTCTCCCCTCCCCAGATAACGTTGAGAGATGTCGTTCGGAAGCGACATCTCTAGTGCTATCCCGAGCGCACGGCGACTACAGAGAGAGGCATTGTTACTTGTACCTGGTGGTACAAGCTGACAGTCTCTCAAAGTCAAAGGTTGCTATCCTTTTAAGACCTGCTGTCCATGTATGCCGGCCTCCACCGTTGCCCCTCCTTATCCGGTGCAAATAATAGAAATAAGCCCCGGGGTCAATAGAAAGTATGTCAAAGTATGTCAGTATGTCAAAATATAACAAATATTTAATTTCTCTTTCCTATTTTACCAAAATAGATTGTTACTTTAAGGACATCCTGTTACAATCTCTATACCATGTATACAATCTCTTTATAAAACTGGGTAATTTATAAAATATTCTTTGAAACAAAACTTAAAGAGGATATCAATGTGTTGTGTGTGTTGTTGTGTGTGTGTGTGTGTGTGTGTGTGTGTGTGTGTGTGTGTGTGTGTGTGTGTGCGTGCGTGCGTGCGTGCGTGTGTGTGCGTGTGTGTGTGTGTTTGACTAGTATTTAACAATATTATTTCCTATGTACATGACGTTTTTCAAAATTATATCGGGGCCAATATTATTCTTTTTTACAAGAAACTTTTTTTTTTACTTTTGTCGTAGTCTTATTCTATATTTAAATGTTACAACTTTTAATAATATGTATATTTAAAAACATGAAAATATGTCAAATGTCTAAACATATAAGAAATATATAAGAAATAATAATGCCAAAATCTGTTTTCTTGACACTCTTTGTAAGTTTTGTCTACAAGAATTTTTCGTAAAACTCTTATTTTAAATTATTTCTTTAAAATAATCAAATTTGTACATATCTCATGAATTTTTTAAAATATACATTACCTGTGCTATAGCCCATTTTACCATAGGGCCGCAAGCCATACTAGCTCGATTCACTTTTTCAAAATTGTAATCAGGATTGCTCAAATATCGGCTCTTCATTTTCTCCCTCACTTCATCACTAAATAAAATTTATATGAAGATTTTTATATCTAAAGTAAAATAACTTTGCAATTTTAGTTTACTATATCATCTTTGTTAAGCATACTATATCATCTTTGTTGTAATCATTTGCATGCAGTAATTCTAGCACGCACTATTAATTCTGATTAGAAAATATGACATTTATATAGGTGTCATTAGTATCAACAAATAATAAAATTAAAGCACAATTCAATATTAGTGACAAATTTTAGTAACCGTTAATTATGCAATAAGAAAATAGTCATATTTATATATATATTTTGTTATTAAAATTTGTTAATATATATATATATATATATTATAATATTCCAAAATTTTTTATTAGAAATATTTACCGAAATGAGCACAAATAATTACAAACAAGTAATTTATAATTTGCAATAAATCATTTGCAAGAAATGCAATTCAATATGTTGATTAAATGATAATAAAAAAAATGTATATGTATTTATAAGTATCAATATGTACTTATGTATTTATATATTTTTATAAATTTATTAGAAAAAATCATATCATAATTCAAAGAGATGAGATTAGCAAATATGTAAATACAAAATATTTAAATATTTACTGATACATATGATATATTAATACATTTGACTTCGATGATAATTAAAATAAATTATTACAAATCTGTAATAACTTATTTTAATTATCATCGAAGTCAAATGTATCAATATTAATATATCATATGTATCGGTAATAGTATCATATGTAAATATTTAATATATTAAATTTATGATTGATCTCTTGATAATACAGCATAAAACCATATAAAAGAAAAGAAAAATAGATAATAAATTCATGCTTACGTAATATCTTCGGTACTAAAATTAGAGACAATAGTATTAATAAAATTGTCCCTCATGATGACCGCGCGGATAGATTTCCAGTCGCTAGCATTTTCGCCAAGCAATAAACAGATAGATTCCAATGCAACCTTCACAATCGCTGGCGGGTTTCCCATGGATCGAATCTCAACCAAATGTTGTTTTTTTATCGATTTAACCGCTATACAAATAATTATAAACCATTACATAGTACAATAAAGAAATATGCAGACATTAGAGAAATGTTACTGTAATGTTACCGTGCAAGAAGCACAGTGATACTGGCTGTGAAAGTCTTCAGTTGACCTACATGAAAAGTTCGAGAAAAGGCAACAAATATCATACACATGTTATGTTTTATTTTTACTTCTGTAAAAAGACATAAAAGATAAATAGAAAAGTTGGCGTTATAATAACAGAAATTTTGTTTAAGTATAATTTTATAGTCTCCTTTGTACAGCTATAAAGATGTTATAACATAATCAGTTTAGAAAAAGCGTAGACAGCAAAAATTCGTGTTAAAACTTGTTTACTCGAAATTCCTCGAAACTAGATATAGTAAAATTTCCATTACGACGTTGTCTACTAAAGATCACAATTATAACCTGACTGTTCTTGCGAACAGACATTTTTGTGAGTGTTGTGACGCTTCAAAATAGTGTTTCAGTATATATATCCAAAAAGGTTGAAAATTGAAGAAGTAGCTAAATATATGAAAAAATCAAAGCCCTTTGTGCATAAAGTAAAACGTTATCAAGAATCGAACATGATCGATAACTTTCTGGAACGTGATGTAGCTCGAAAAATGACAAAACAAAAGAATAAGTTGATTATTACTGTTTTCTCCAGATATACCCTTGTTACTACGTGAAGGTCAGTCAAAACTAAAAGCAAAATGCTATATGATACAAGGGGAGTAACAGAAATTGCCCCCTTCGCTTTTGGCAAATTTGATACATGTTTTAGTATTATCCTTTTACTAATTAATAGTAAAATGATTTGACGCAATTCTCAAATATTTACAAAAAAAAGTTTAAAGTTTCCTACGTGTCATATGTCACCGAAGACAGATAAAGACAGTAAACACAGATTTTCAACAAGCAGCAGTGGTCGAAGTGGTAAGGCGATTGGTTGGTATACTAGAATTGTACATATTGCGAGTTAAAGTCTTGCTTCAGAGATAATAAATAAAATTTATAAGAAACGCTTAATATCATCTATCGAAAAATGATAAAAAAAAAACGGATATTTTAAGAAGATAAATCCTAAGTCGAAATCGTTTTTGTACGTGATATAAAAATGAGAACGGTATCAATGTAAAAATGAGAACGGTGTCAATGTACTATTAATGACTGACTTTCACCGTCATCAGATGCAAATCCAATAAAAAATATAAGGAGATGTATGAAAATGAGGCTTTGTAGAAGAAAGATGTATTATTTAGAGTGGCTAATTCGATAAAACACTGTGCAGGTCATTAAGTCGAAAATACGTTGAAAAGTTGATGGAAAGTATACTTTGGAGACATGAAACTATTATACATAATATAGATATCATATTAACATAATATTGCAATAATAGCATCATGAATTTTGTAATTTGATTATGTAATTTGTTATGAATTTAATTTTTTAATAGCGTCATGAATTTGAAAATTGAAATATCATGGTAAACGTTGACTATATTTTCATAATAACTGAATAAATAGTTTTTAGAAATTGATGTCTATGCTCTTTTTAAACAGAATGTATATGCTGAAATTAATGAACAATTGTTAAGTAAAATACAAAACACGTATCAAGCTGTTACATAATAGCTTATATTTTGTATTAGAATCTCACGCAAGCGAACGTTAAACATTTAGCATACTGTACAGTTGTCCTCTTACGTGAGGTCCTCCGTGTTAAAGTTGACGATAGTTGGAATAAAGGTGTCTTTCATTATAATAGTACGAATTTGTTTCCAATCTGTGGCGTTTTCCTCGAGTAATAGACAAATAGATTCTAATGCCAGTTTTACGACAGCAGGGGGATTCGCCATAGATCGAATCTCAACGAGATGTTGTCGTTTAATTCCTTTCACAGCTATACTCATTGCAATTTTAACATTTCAACGCAAACTCCACAATTATATCAAAGATCACGGTTAAACAATGGTTTCAAAATGAAGACAATTTAAACATATGTACGTTACCTCCGTGTTTTTGAATATAATCATAGTAAAATATCGAATATATAACACAACTATACTGTATCTTCAACATAGTCTTTAAAAATATATAACGCGAATTACACGACGAACTACATGCAATTTACTACTTAATATTATTATACTACGTATTATACTCGTAATAAAATGGTTTTTATAAAACTTTATGATTAGTTTATTAGTTTTAAAAATATACCTAGAAAAATTAATATTATAATGCAGTATAAGATACTTTGTCAAATACATACCGTTTTGGGCATCAATAACGGCTGGCTCGACTTGGGCGAGGTCGGCCATGACATCATCCCTTTTTTCGTTGATAGCCACTGTTTGCATACGCAGTTGCTGCTGGATCTCTTGACTCTGTACCTTCTTCTTCTCTGCTTCCTGTTGGTCTTTAACCATTTGCCTTAATTTTGCATTGGCAGCTTCATTTTTAGCTTGCAATTCCTATGAAAAATAGAAATGTAGAAAAATTTTGTTATGTACACTATATTCTGTTACAAAAATCTGTTATTAAAGATTAAGATTGTCTCACCTGAGATTTTACAGCTAAACTCTTCTGCATTTCCTCCACTTGTTCCACAGTTTCAGCAATTTTACTCAAACCAACATTCAAATGCAACTGTTGTTCTTCCAAATCACTCCTCTTTTCCTGATACAGTTTCACGAAGTGATTAATGAAGTCCAAGTAATGGCGCGGTGTGATAGCCATGGTTCTAGCACCCCTCTTTGCCAGACGTGTGTTCGCTTTATGCAAGGTCTGATGGACGTACACACATGCATTTATAACAGCATCTCTGTGTGACGGTTGCGATGGAATTAAAGAACACACAGACGGGAAGAAGTCTGGACATTTCCACATAGGTCTCTCTAAATCGACGCGATTGGTAAATTCTTTACCAACTTGGAACAACGCATTATCAGACCAATCACCAAACCAATTCAATACGCATCTGTTGAACAACGCCGGTGATGTTGCCGCGCGATCTTTCAGACCATCGGTACTCGGATTCATTGTGAATACAACATGTAGATTTTTCATAACTTGGCCGGTGAACCATTTATATAACTCTTCATTAGAATCTAGCATTAGGCCTTCTCGCTGAGCACCCTCCTTGCATTGCGTCATAAGGGTTGTATATTCATCACCCTCGAATAATCCGGGTACTTCTCCATTGGCGAGCAATGTGTTCATACGTTCGAGAAAGCCGGAATCCAATACATTAGATTCATCGAGAATAAAAGCTATTTTTTCATCCTTACAACCAGATCGCCTTAATACTTGACGCAAATCTTCATCGAAATCTTCACCGGTATATTTATTATGCACCTTTTGGATATATTAAAATTGATCAGAAAAACACGCTCGCCTAAATACAGTGCCAAATAATAAGGCAATATAAGACAACATAAAAATACCTTAATTTGGAAGATAGACAAGCCGTTCATCCATGCAACGAATCTCGACAGAGTCGTCTTTCCAGCGCCAGAGACACCGATGAGCAACAAGTGTCCCTGAGGCTGTCGGAAAATTCTGTCAATCCGTAGAACATGTTCAAGAACCTCGTCAAAGAGTACCAACGGCACATCTAATTCTTCCTCATAAAATACTTTCAATCTTGCTCGAACATAGTCTCTTAATTCCTGCCTGTTTACTGGAACATAATCCTTCGACAGCCAGTTACTGTACAAGATCGGTTTAGCCAATGCTTTTTCTCTATCAACTGACATAAAGTGTTTCAACGCTACTGTGTCTATGTTCTTATTCGTCCAAGCTCTCTCGGAATCTTCTACCAATCTGTCCTGGAATAAGCGAAGAGCCTCGTGGGCCCACAAACGCACCAAGCCTTCTACAGAAAGATTATCTAATGGTCTAATGGCTTCACAAATGCCGCGTACCCAACGTGTCATTTCTCGTGGAGAATACACGTAATGTGGCTGCATATCTTGGGTAAATTTCTCCTGGGAAGCCAAATAAAACTCCACCATTGCGTTCGTCAAAGGCTCCGCATAACCTCGTAGTGAAGGTGTTAATCTGCAATTTTATAGAAAAATCTTGAGTTATTCAATATGATCATAGTTTAGTAATAAAAAGAAAAAAAAAGAAGAGGAAAAAGAAAAAAATATATGCGCGTATGATATTTGAGATATTACAGTAAATATTTCCATCAATAAATGCATGTGTACATACAGGGTCCTCAGAAAGTCCGGGAACGCTAAAATATTTCAAAAAATATGAAAGATACGAAAAAATGTTTCATACAAAAGTTGTAGGACTTAAAAAGATCTATTTAGTAGTCATATTAGTTTGACCATAAGTGGCGTTGCTAAGGTCATATGAAGGTCAACTTTGTTTTTCTAAATGGAACCCCCTATTTTTTATTGGAAATTCTTGTAGCTTATCTTGAGAGCTTTCCAAAACACTATAATGAAGTCATTTTTTAAGTTCTTTCCGAGTTATGACGCTTGAAAGTTACAATACCGCCGGCATTAGCATTACCCAAAGTATACCGCGCGGAGGTGCGATCAGAGATGCTTCTCGATTCACGTATTCTAAAAACGAGTTGTGCTCGCTCGTATCTCGCTCTTTGTCTCTTTTGTTTCTTTTTCCGATTATAGTATCACATTTTTCTCTGAAAAATGTTGACCGAAAAAGAAAGAATATTGCTACTTATTTATTGAGGATTTGGTGACCGTATTAGATCATATCAAGAAGTAGCTGATCTACTCAATGTTACACATTCTGATCTCGATCCTATTTCTAAATCCACCGTTTGCAGAACAGTGATTCGTTTTTTTGAAACGGGAACAGTTATGGACCGGTTTCGCAGTGGAAGGCCGAAATCCGCAACTATTGATGTTAAGACTGGATGTTCTCCAATCATTTCAGGAAAATCCTCATTTGTCCGTATCAAAAACAGCACAAACCCATAATAGTGACAGCAGCGTTTTAAAAAAGCATAAATATTATCCGTATAAAATTGTTATCACTCAAGAACTTATGGAAGATGAGTTTGATAGAAGAATTCAGTTTTGTAAAGAACTGATGCATCGGTATGATGATAATGCTAACTTTTTGAATTTTGTTATTTTTTCTGATGAAGCCACATTTCAAATAAATGGTGCTGTTAATCGCCACAATTGCAGATATTGGAGTGACGAAAATCCACATTGGATGAGTGATCTTCGCACACAATATCCACAAAAATTGAATGTTTGGACAGGGATCTATAGTCGCGGTATTATAGACCCATTTTTCATAGATAGTGATTTAAATACTGAAAAATATGAAAATTTATTGTGAGATCATATCATTCCTGAAATTAAAAATTGATTTGACGCAAATATGCAAAACATTTGGTTCCAACAAGATGGAGTAGGACCTCATTTTGAGATACGAATTCGAGAATTTTTAAATCGTTCTTTTCCTAATCGATGGATAGGTAAGGGAGATGCCATTGAATGGCTTGCTAGATCACCTGATCTATCTCCTCTTGACTTCTTTTTTGGGAACATATTAAAAGTAAAGTTTATGCGACGAAACCATGTAATTTGGAAGACCCGAAAAATCGAATAATGCAGGAAACATCTCTGATCGTTTTAGAACAAATAAGCCATGTGATCAATAGTTTCTATGAATGTTTAGCTCATTGCCAAACAGTAGAAGGAAGACATTTTGAATAATTGAAAAAGTAAAAAACAAAAAAAAAAAACCAATAGGCCTTGAAAACCAAATATTACCCCGCGCGCACGCCACGCACGCACGCACGCACGCACGCCACGCACCGCACGCACGCACGCCACGCACGCACGCACGCACGCACGCACGCACGCACGCACGCACGCCACGCACGCACGCACGCACGCACGCACGCACGCACGCACGCACGCACGCACGCACGCACGCACGCCACGCACGCACGCACGCACGCACGCCACGCACGCACGCACGCACGCACGCACGCACGCACGCACGCCACGCACGCACGCACCACGCACGCACGCACGCACGCACGCACGCACGCACGCACGCACGCACGCACGCACGCACGCACGCACGCACGCACGCACGCACGCACCACGCCCACGCACGCACGCACGCACGCACCCGCACGCACGCACGCACGCACCACGCACGCACGCACGCACGCACGCACGCACGCACGCACGCACCCGCACGCACGCACGCACGCACGCACGCACGCACGCAACGCCACGCACGCACGCACGCACGCACGCACGCACGCACGCACGCACGCACGCACGCACGCACGCACGCACGCACGCACGCACGCACGCACGCACGCACGCCCACGCACGCACGCCACGCACGCACGCACGCACGCACGCACGCACGCACGCACGCACACGCACGCACGCACGCACGCACGCCGACGCCGCACCGCCCCCCGCCCCCCCCACCCCCCACGCCCACGCCACGCCCACGCACGCACCACCAGCCGTGTAAATCCGACTGTGCAACCTCCGCGCGGTACACTTTGGGTACACTGTGACTTTCAAGTCTTATAACTCAGGAAGAACTTAAAAAATGACTTCATTATAGTGTTTTAGAAAGCTCTCGAGATAAGCTACAAAAATTTGCAATAAAAAATAGGGGGTCCTATTTAAAAAAAACAAAGTTGACCTTCATATGACCTTAGCAACGCCACCTATAGTCAAACTAATATGACTACTAAATAGATCTTTTTAAGTTCTACAACTTTTGTATGAAACATTTTTTCGTATCTTTCATATTTTTTGAAATATTTTAGCGTTTCCGGACTTTCTGAGAACCCTGTATAATAAAAGCTTTATAAATGAAATCTTTACCTAAGCATAGCACGTGTGAATGTGCCGTAAATTTGCTTCAAAGAAGTTTCCCCAGGATAGTCGACATAAATGACAGGCACATGTCGAAGGAATCTGTGACTAAGGGGTTTCCTGCCGGGATCTGTGGGCGGATTACATGCACCGACGAATTGTATTCTCTCCAATGTGACCCATGCTTGATCACTTGTTCTGTAAAAGCCTCTGTGTTCTACTAATTGTCTTAAGAAAGAGATGACACGTTGCGTTCCATAGTTATCCATGTCAGGTAAATTGATTTCGTCACAGAACAAAACCAACCATTTGCCCAATTGTACCGGAGAAAGTACGACACCATTAGGTGTTTTACGATATTCACAATAATGATCAAATGTTTTAAGTAACAATTCAGGTGTCGTTGCAGAAGAAAAGTTAAGTCCAACAACTTCCATATCTGGTAATGCTCGCAGAGCAGAAAATAGTGTCATAGTTTTGCCAGAACCAGGTGGCCCACAGAGTACTATAATCATAAAATACAATTTTTTAACGCACACAAGTGGATATTAATGTGCATTTGTTAGTTAAAAATAATATTCATTATTTACCTAAAGGCTTGTGCTCGGCTAACCAAGTATATAATAAACTTTCGTGTCTCACAGTGTCCAAAGTTGGCACAACGATGTCTGGGCTAGCTACTTTGTGCGTCTCTACTTCAATTTGTGGAACTTTATTGCTCCAAGGTAACCATTCGCCGTGTATGTTTACTTCAAAGTCGATAATTGGTATGTTATTTTGAGAAGGTAAAGGTACGGTTGTTATAGATCGTACAAAGTCACCCAAGTCGGATCTAACTTTTAACTTAGCGTCTCCTGCGAAGCTCCACAGAAGCGCATAAACTAAGCATTTGGGCATATAACGTTCCAACTGCTCGCTTGGCAAAGGAAAGTCAGTGTGAGAATGATTATACTGCAATACATTGCGAACAGCTTGATTCAACATGGAGAACAGAGAACTGAGAGCTCTTAAACGTGTGAAGTCCATTATATGTTCTTGTTTCATGGCATATTCTAAGCATCTCACTACTAAACCATCGGGAGCGAAATAACTTTGCATGATACTGGCGACTTCTCTCTGCACCGCTAATGCAGGCGATATGGTATCTTCTTTCTCTGCAGTCTTTTTGCCGAGATTATCCTCCTCCCCGTCTTCCAGTGGAATATTTCGTAAACGCAACATATAGTTTTCGAATATCATTTCCGTCGATAGTACATCTTCCGAGAACCAAACCATACCGCAACGCGACACAGTGGCCAAAGTAGCATATTTTAAATCTTGCACTTCAAACATAACTCTCACGTTTGGCGGTAGACTCAACCGCTCGCCATTGGGCAAAGTAAGAAGTTTATTGTCATCCAATACAGAATTCAAGTTCTCGACCCATTCCGGGTCAACATCACCATCGAATATAATCCATTGTCGTTTATTAATTTCTCCTCTGACGTTATCAATTATTTTTCTCAATATATGCGTGAACAGACCATCTGTCCATTCGCGTGTATTTGGATCTAAGACACCATATAATGTTTCTTTACTGATTGCTTTAGGATCGATTACGTGAGCAACACCCTCCACGCCTTCGAATCGTTCTAGTGCTTTAAGCAACACCTTCCACGCCATCGTTTTACCAGAGCCACTTGGACCAACCATCATTAAGCCATGATTTAAATTACAGATTTGATATAATTGGAGGACCTAGTAAAACAACAAAATAAATAAGATATAAAACTAACCCATCAGATTCGACGAAAAGGGAATAGGACCGATAAAATTTTCAAAAGGACCGCAGATAAAACATCTACTTTCAACAACCATACACATGAATATATTTTATAATATCAATCTCACCTTTTCTACCCAAGTCTCACCGATCGATTCCTTAGTGCGCATAAACAATATGAAAATTAAGTTTTCAGTATCATTAAGTATTATACAGAGTATTCGACGCAAATCATACTAAAACTTGTGTGCATGTAGAACACGTCAAACTGCAATAAGACCGTTATCATGCAATTATGTAATTTATTAACGAAAAATGTTGACGAACCAGCACGCATGGTGAGTGCGGTGGGACGGACTCTGTTGGTGCAATTGCGTAAGGAATAGCTGAGCATGTGTTGATTTGTCAATTTTTTTTCATTAATAAATCACAAAAGTTTACACGGTTGTTTGCCAAATGATAGCGGTAGTTTGTTTATTATTCAGTTTAATGTGTTACATATGCATATAAGCGTTAGTACGACTTGCATCAGATACCCTGTATACACAAAATATAATGTGGTTAATATTTTGTGAAGTTATTAGAGTGCATAAAAATTATTAATGTCAATAATGTGAGTAATTTTATCACATTTAAAAAATGAAAGAAGTGCATTACCTTTTCTTGCCAGGCACCTCCTTGTTCATCTCCTTCGCCGCATACCAAGTATTCCTCGGCACATACTTTCCTAATTTGATCTTTCAATCCTAAAATAAAATATTCGTATACTCATATATTATTACTTATACACTATTATATATTATTATTTATATACTATTATTATTTATATACTATTATTATTTATATCACTATTTATATATTATTTATATATACATATAAATAAAGACATCTAAATATTCATAAATATTTTTTCATTAAGTTCTTGTTAATAGAATAATATTTTACCTTTCATTTCCGCGCGTGTGTAATTTACATTAGGGAATACGTCGCTGAGTAAACTGAACAATAATGGAATATCTTCGGCAACTAATTTCGGAACCATAGTTTCGCATACAGATTGAATAAGTATCTCTTGTTCGGGCAGATTTTCTGCAATAGAGGCTTCATCGATATTGGTTTCACCACGACTTTGCATTCCCTCTTTAATTTTCTGTATACGATCACGTTTCACGTTTCCGGCAGATATCAACACAGATTTAAGAGCACGTAATCCAAAATCGTAATGCGATTGATTAGAAAGCTGTTCGTCACAAAGCCTAAAAAAGGGGAAAAATATTTTATTGTAACAATAACAAAATTAACAAAAGTACATAAAATACATATTTGAATACATACTTGAAAAATGGAACAATTTTACACGCTAACTTTTCTGCAGATCGGAATCCTTGACTGAAAAGCATTACTTCGGCAATGAGTTGACGATCAGGTGTAGTCATAGCAAGCGATCTGAAAAGTTTCTTAAGATTGTCTGGTAGATTGGAGCGTCCAGCGTATCCAGGATTCATAGTAATGAAAATAGCCATATCTGTAGAGACTTTAACTTGTTTCCCAACTAATTCAACACAGAGAGTTCCCTCTTTTTTGCCTTCCATCTGACTCTTAAGTGCTTCTTGAATCGTTTGTACTTGTTGAGAAACAGCAGATAACATACGTTCCTCCAATCGATTAAATTCATCAAAGCAACCCCATGCACCCACTTGACAAAGACCAACAAATATACGACCCATAGCCTGCAATAAATAGCGATTAAATATAAAATATATTTATAAACGGTATCCTAAAATTCACGTAAGAAGTAATTTTGATAGAAAACACAGTTTTATAATTAAAAATTGTAAATTTTTTATTGATTCATAAAATATACAGTATAGGGTTATGTATGGAATAGCATATCGGGTAAATGACCTCCACGGCTTTGCTGGCACATATGCACTCTTTTGTTGAAATTTTCCATGACCGTTTTGCATAAATGTGGCTGAATTTCGTTGATACAACGCTCAATTTCCTCCTTCAAGGCGTGGGTAGCTGTGGGCTTGTTGGCATAAACCTTAGACTTCAAAAAACCCCAAAGAAAAAAGTCCAACGGCGTTAAATCGCATGATCTGGGTGGCCAAATCTGATCACCAAAACGGGAAATTACACCAGGAAATGTCTCATGCAGTAATTGAATTATTTCTCGGGCTGTATGGCATGTGGCACCGTCTTGTTGAAACTACACGTCCACATCCATATCTTGCAATTTAGACACAAAAACTGGTTTATCATGTCGTGATAGCGAGCACCATTAACTGTTATTGCCTGACTAGCCGCATTTTCGAAGAAGAATGGTCCGATGATGCCTCCAGCCCAAAATCCGCACCAAACAATGACACGTTGTGGATGCATTTGTTTCTCAACAATCACTCGTGGATTTTCTGAACCCCAAATGCGATAATTTTGTCGATTAACCAAGCCATCAAGATGAAAATGAGCCTCATCGCCGAAAATGATTTTGTTCAAAAAATCAGCATCCACTTGTTGTTCCATAATCAACGAACTCTCTTCGCTGTGGCCATTTACCCGATATGCTATTCCATACATAACCCTATACTGTAAACTTTATGAATCAATAAAACATTTACAATTTTTAATTATAAACCTGTGTTTTCTATCAAAATTACTTCTTGCGTGAATTTTGAGACACCCTTTATTTTGATTTTTGATATTATTAATCTTTTTATCAATACCTGGAAATCGAACGTCTCATCGCAATTAAATACCAATACAAATCTTCCAAGTTGGTGTCCTAAAGCTTTCACAGATTCTGTCTTCCCTGTACCAGCCGGTCCAAATGGCGATCCACCGAGCCGGGCCTCTAAAGCTTGTGTCATAGTTAAATAACATCTGTCGGTTAACGGTGTCTGCACTAATCTATCTTGCACTCCTAAATATTCGAATCCATAGAAGAATTTAGCGTTTGCCATATGTATCGTGAGTTGTTGAAGTACTTCCGTTTGTCTAGGATCGAAATAGAATCGCATTTCGCACAACCATTCAAATGCCTTGGGATTTGAAACTTTATTTGCAATTAATCGCCTAGTGACGGTACGTTTATGTACAAATTCGTTGATTAAGTGCTCTAACTTCTTCCTCCTTAAAGGTGGTTGTTCTTGAAGAACAGAGTCAGCCAAAACATTTAATGTGCCTTCCACTTGTATCAAAACTCTTTCTAGTGGATTTTTGTTTGGATCCGCTTGTGCTTCATGAAGTGCTGCCTCTACGTCTTCTGACCACAAAATTTGCGCGGCTAAAACTATTATTTGAGCCTGATAATTGTCGCACCATGTCATAAATGCCTGTGGGTTTATATTGCCATCCTTGAATTGTTTAATATCTTGTACAGCTTTTGCGAGGCTCGAAGCGAGTGTCACGCGCATTTCTTTTTCGACGAGCGTTAACCATTCGTTTATTTTGGGATAATCAACTGTAGATACTGGATTTTGGAATATAACTTCTTCACCTTCGCGCGATGCGATACCGGTAATAATCGTATTATCTTCATTCAACAAAATCGCGGCTACGCCAGCAAACATCTTTTTGAAATGTTTCTGCAATCGTGCAATATTCTTGCTATTACCAATAATTTCTAATAAATCTTCATCGCCGACAAAATAAAATCGTGGAAAAGATGTTCGTTCTCTTTCTAAATATTCTCCTAATGCCTTTTGTATCTTACCAAGAAGGTCAGCAAGACGTTCGAGTGCTCTCTGAACGCCTGGAATGTTCAGAACGTCTGTGACCATAGGAGATTTGGATACTTTTTTCATCAATCCCAAAAACTCAGAACTGATACTTTGGAAACGTGATGTTTCTACTGGCAACAATGTTTTAATATCCGCACTGCCAGAAAAGATACCTTCGAGATAAACCCATCGCCGTTGTACATCTATCCATACATCGAATAAAGCATTGATTCTATTCAGTTTTTCTTCCCAAGTGAGAGCTTCTTCCTCAAACACTTTATAATACGGCGATAATTTCATAGCAGCCACCGAGTTGATGTGTTCTTTTACTTTATTAAATAAATCGTCCCAACCGCGTATCAGTCTGCATTTATTTTGGTAATTTATCAAATCTAATTCATAAGTTTGCCAAGATTCGCGCACTTGCTTCAAAAACTCCTCGAGAGCCATTTCTCCTTGAGCCACAAGAATAATATCCTTAACTATGCCCTCATTTTTTTGAAGATTCACGTCCCAGACTTGACCAAGAGTAAGTTCGCTTAATATCCAGTTCACTCTGAGCTGCTTCGTCAACTGCTTCCAATGTCTCTCTTTGAGTGCATCCGACTTTAGCTCTACAATCAACATGTTCACTTTCGTATAACTTTGTAACATCTTTTTCACATATTCATATGACGAATATTGTCTTAATCTTGCTGGAAGTTCTTTCAATTGCGCCATCATTGTATCTAATTGCTGACGCAACTTTCGCGGTTGTACGGAGAGCCAAGGTTTTTCACGCGTTTCATCGATTTGAGCCCATATCTTTGATAATTCTGACCAAACTCCTCTCAAATCCTGCAACTCTTCAAATACCACTTGCATTCTATCTTCACTAGTTGATATTCCACCCGGCTCTTGTAATTCTAACGCCTCTTTTGCTTTCGCGACATTATCTCTTTCCTCTTTAAGTCTAGCAAATTTACTCTCAAACAACTGTAGTTGCTGCAAAGCATCATCTGGTCGCAAATGACCTTCCACAGGCTTTCCTCTTTCCCAATCACTGAGGAAATCAGTGGTTCTTGTTTCAACTGCTTTGTCCTCGGCGACAATTTTCATCTGTAAGGATGCAACTTGAGTTTGAATGCTAGTATCTTTGCGTTTGATAATTTCATTGAATGCGCCCCACTCTCCTTCTATATTGTCCACATGGAGCCAAGAAGACGGGAATTGGAATCTCTGACGTTCAAGTATTCTTTGACCTTCACGATATACGTCTACTTGTTTTTCCCAAGCTTTCATTTTGCGTTTTAGAGATTGAACATATGTTATAAAACCAACTGCATCAGATGTACTAGCTGCTTCAATAGATTGCTGTTCCAGATCGCTTCTAGATTTTGATACTTGTGCATGAAAACTGGCCATTTCATTACCTAAAAGCGTTCCGAATTTGCCCAAAGTTTCTTTATGCCACGAATCGTATTTTAGCGAGACTTTACTCTGCACTTTAGCAAAATCGATGATCATTGGCCCAAATTCGCGTCTAGTGTCGGAAGTATCGAACGTAGTTCTCGTTTTCTTTATATCGTTCAGACACTTCATCCATAAATTAATATTTTCGCCTAATTTGCCGTAAAGATTTCCTGGTTGCAAATCCCAAAGAGCTTGATAACGTAGCCATTGGTCAACATAATCGGCAACATCTTTCATTTTAGATTCAACCGCTTCATATGCTGCCTCCAATGGTTGTTTACCAAAGGGTAATTTTGTAAGTAAATTTCTATATGTGCCTGATTCGGGTTTATCTAACCCAACTTGGTATCTGGAACTCTGGAGACGAATTTGTGATGTAACAATTGCTTGCCATGCAAATAATTGTTGCATTATCTGAAACCTAGCATCTTCAATGCTAGGATACAGATACATAGTTTGATTCGTAATTCGGACTTCGTGGATTTGATTTTGAATCTTAGGATCGCCGCCAGGTTTATGCGTTGGCTGGGCAGGAGCATCTGTATCCATACTTAAATCTACTTCTTTTTTATGACCTGTTAGTGCATCGGTCCACGCTTTTATTCCAGCTTCCAATCTAGCAGCTAAATTTTTTTCCACTTCTTCATCAAGTCTTGCTACCCAAATATGTAAGTTGGAATAGTTTTTCAAAGACAATTCATCTACTGACTTCTGGATTTTGGATAAAATGTCAGCAAAAGTATTTGCAGAATAAGGACATGTTTCAAGAGAACGAACGTCCACATCCAGTTGTTCTTCCACAACTAAAAGATCTTCTACTCTTTCTTGAAAAGAAACTACTGCTTCAGAAAGACGTTGCACGTATTGATCAAGTTTATAGCTTTCCCAAACCAGCGCGATACCCTAGAGATGCATATAAAAACAAAATATAGTTATAATTTAATAAATGTATAATGTAATTTTATAAATCGGTAAAGGTAAATATAGCAAATATTAAAAATATGTACTTGCATTATATTAACTTACCTCAGAGATTAATAACAGAACATCTTTACGCATACCAGCGACCAAGGGTATAATACTCGCTTTGTCTTCAATCTAGAAGAAATATTGAAGAGATATATAATTCGTTAAATTACTTCTTTTTATTTGCAATATCTATGCGCGAAATGATTTGGATACAGTTTTACGACATAATGAGATCTCATTCAATACTTAACTCAAGAATATGCATACACAAAAATTTAATACGTATAGAGAATCATACGTTAGTTATTGGCATATTCATATCGAAAAGACGAAATAATTTCATATATTATATTGCATTTAAGCAACATTGCCTTCGAATATGCGAACAGCCTTATTTTTCAGGTGGAATTTTAATTATAAAATAATTATACATACACACATACACACATATATACATATGTGTGTATATTTATAAATATAAACTTCTCTTCATAAAATAGTTTAAAATACACAGGGTGAGTCAGTTAATCTGTCATACACTTATATATTGGAAATGAAATATTTTAGAGAAAAATATTTCTTATAAAAGTTTTATAACTTTAGAAGGACATAAACTGATGCCATTGGTTTGACCTTGGATAGTTGTTTAAAGATTGTATGAAAATTATCTTAAATTTTTTTAATGAAAACCCTCATTTTTCAGTGAATATTTTTATATGCTTATCTCAAGAGCTTTCTATAATCAACTATTTTTTATTAAATTATTCTCATTAAATATTTCTCGAGTTATAAAGTTTAAAAGCTTATAATACCACCGGCATTAACACTACAAAAGGTGTACCGCACAGAGGTCAAATTGTATATATAGTACGGAGGTAGTACTGAACAAACTAATTATTGGCCAGCGGACGTGTGGGTGCAGTAAGGAAAAGGTAAGGAGAAATAAGTGGGATAAAACTCTCAAAAACCGTCTGAAAAATGAAAATAATTTCACGCACTGATATATTCGGACAAAAAAGATTTTTTTAGCTTATTTTTAAGTTTTAAGTTTGAAAAAATTTCAAAAAAATATAAAAAGTTCTTCAATAGTTAAGTCTGTTACATTTATTATCATTGGAGTTTACCTTGGATAAAATAAAGTATGTACTGGAATGTTTATTTACTTTCATTAATTAGAACATGTAGATTACTTCTCGGTGCTGCTGGAAATGAGAGAGATTATATAAATAAATGTGCTTGTAGTAATTGTTTTATTAGATATTGATGCTGTTGAGAAGAGTAATGTATCGATCATTCATCAATAACTATGGAAACTAAATAAAATGTGCAAATTTAATAATTCGGACCAACAGAAGGAACTCTCCAGTGGGGAAATCAGTCGAAAGTACAGCGTAACTGAAGTTGTGGTTAAAATAAAGGTAAATGTGGAAAAAAATTTATTAAATCCATCACAATAGTGAATAATCCGGTCGCGGAAGGAAGAAGACCAATCCAGTCAAGGATCGACTGATCATCTAGGAATAAAAAAGAAAAGCGATTGTTACCAGTTGTATAATCCGGGAAAATGTTCAATTAAACATTTCTGAACAAATCATACGTAGAAGACTCCGGAAAACTGGGCTGAAAAACAGTTTTACACTGCGTCACCCTTTAATTCGAAAGATCAAAAAAATCAAACGTCTGGAATTTATTAAGAAATACATCGATAAGCCAGTGGACTTTTGGAACAAGGTAATTTGAAGTGGCGGAAGTAAGTTTAACCTCTTCGGTCATAAATGATGATTGCGGGTTTGGTTAAAGCCTAGCGAAAAATTTTTAGATAAAAATGTCCAAACGACGATCAAGCACAGAAAAGACAGTATTATGGTATGGAAGTATTTTGCGTAATCAGGTCTGGGAAATCTGATCAAGACCAATGGTATTATGACAACAGATGTAATATATTGATATCCTTAACAAACATTTGGAGGAGTCTCTACTAAAGATTAGTCTGGAAAATAATTTTATCTTTCAATAAGATAATAATCCGAAACATAAAAACTGCTCGTAAAAGTACTGCCATTTTCCATGATTCGAGGATCAAACTGCTGGATTGGCCGGCACAACTGCCAGATTTAAACTCAATTGAAAATCTGTGGCTCATTTTAGACCAGAAGATTGACAAGAGCGACGTAACGAATAAGATCAACTTGTTCAAAGCCTTGGAAGATGCGTGAAAAAACATCGACCAACAGCATATCCAAAATCTAGTCGAGAGTATGCCTCGACGTTTGCAAACAGTCATACAAGCAAACGGCTATACGAAATACTAGTTTAAAATTTTATCTTTAATTTGCTCCTTATTTTTTAATTGCTCCTTATTATTATCTGCGTACTTTATTTTGTCCAAAGTAAACATAATAATGTAATAGACTTAACTATTGAAGGATCTTTAATGTTTTTGGAATTTTTTCATTTAAACTTAAGAGTAGACTGAGAAACTTTCTTTTTGTCCAAGTAGATTATTATTCTATCCCTCAAAAGACTGCCGAATTATTTACGAAAACGTGAAAATATTCGAGGTGCGTACTTTATTTTGTCCAGTACTGTATGTCAGAAGAATAATGTGAAAAATAGTGATAATTTCAATGGGAGAGAAATCTGACTATCTGACTATCCTGATAAATGCAAAATAATTTTATTTTCTAAGAAAGCGTTCTGGACAATTAAGCTTCCGACTTCGTGTCACAACTCTTTTTTAATTGAAACGACTAAATCACAGAAATTTCGGAGCAATATGCTTTCATTGATGAGTACGATGATAATGGCATTAACGGTGCAAATTTTGATTCTGCGAGCAGATATATATCCATCTGATTTAATCTCTACGCGGTAAACTTTTGATGATGCTAAAGCGTGGGATGCTGTAACTTTCAAACTTCACAACTCGAAAAGTATTTCATGAAAAATACTTTATTATATTATCTTGGAAAGCTCTTGAGATATTATAAAAATATGCAATAAAAAATGAGGGTTTCCATTCAAGAAATTTAAAGTGACCTTTATGTAATCTTCAAACAACTGTCCAAGGTCAAACTAATGACATGATCTTATGTTTCTCTCGAGGTCATAAAAGTTTTGTAAAAAACATTTTTTTCTCTAAAATACTTCGTTTTCAACCTATAAATTTGTAACATTTTAACTGAATCACACTGTTTGTGTGCATTTAAATTTTCTTTTTTATTCGGATATTACAGACTTCCGCATATCCGTACAAGCCTACATATATTTCAAAATAATTGACAACATTCGTTAGTACGTAAATCAGTAAAATAAACTTATATGATCTTGCATTATGATCTTCTACAATAGCTAAGCAGGCAGACAATGTATATTTGCGTATGTATGTATGACATACAGATATATATATTAGGTCAATCGGAAAGTTCCGTCCGTTTTCTTGCAAAACGTATGGCTTTATTTAAGAAACAAAGTGAAAAAATACATCAATCAAAATATTGTCCATCGTTAGCAATGACTTTTTCCCATCTTTCGGTCAGCAAGCGAATTTCGCGGCGAAAGAATGACTCATCTTTGGAGGCTATCCAGTCGGAGACCCATTTTTCGATGTTTTCATAAGAATTGAAACATTCCTCAGCAAGAGCGTATGCCATCGACCGAAACAAATGGTAGTCGGAAGGGGCACAGTCTGGTGAATAAGCCGCATGGGGTAACACTTCCCAGCGAAGTGCTTCTAACGTTTCCTTGACAGATTTTATGACATGAGGCCGAGCGTTGTCATGAAGCAAAATCACTTTATGCAGTCTCGTTTCATATTCTTATCGTTTTTCGTGCAATGCTCGGCTCAAACGGATCATTTGTTCTCTGTAGAAATTTCTTGTGACTGTTTGACCACTTTTCAACAGCTCATGGTACAGCATACCTTTCTGATCCCACCAAATACAGAGCAGTGCTTTCTTTCCGTGGATATTCTGCTTTGGCGTCGATGTTGAGGGTTGGCCGGGATCGCAAATAGTTTTTCGATGTTTGGGATTGTCAAAATAAATCCATTTTTCATCCCCAGTGATGATACGATGTGAAAACCCCTTTCTTTGTTGCCTAGTGAGCAGAATTTCGCAGGTGGTTTTTCGCCTTTCAATGTCTCTTGGCTTCAGTTCATATGGGACCTATTTTCCTTCCTTGTAAACCTTTCCTAAGGCTTTTAAACGACCGGAAATGACAGATTGAGCACCATTTAATGCTTCTGCAAGTTGCTTTTACGTTTGACATGGGTCTTCGTCCACCAATGCCTGCAATTCTTCATCTTCGAATACTCTTGGCCGTCCAGAACGCTCTTTGTTCTCTACATCAAAATCATCAATTTTAAAGCGTCGAAACCAATCTCTGCATGTTTTATCGGAAGGAGCATTATCACCATAAACTTCTACAAGCATTCGATGAGCTTCAGCTGCAATTTTCTTCCAATTGAAGCAAAAGATTAACACTTCGCGCAAATGACGCTTATTTGGCTCAAATTTCGACATTTTCGATGCAGTGAAAAACAATGTTATTGATACAAACGTATACTTTTATGTACTGAATGTTATTGACAGACGTCAAAATAAACTATTAAGCTTCGTTTAGACATTACAGGTTAACGACAGTTCTAGCTATAGCTACTTGTCGCTAAACGGACGGAACTTTCCGATTTACCTAATACATATATACATACATACATATATACATACATGCATGCATATACACACACGCGTGCGTGCATGCTGCACGTACGCATGCACGCGCGTGTCCGTGCGTGCGTGTGTATGTGCATATGTATATATATATATATGTATATACAGACAAGATGCATAATTCCTGGAAGCATCAAGTATGACTACCTTTAGTACGGGACAATGGGGACTCCGATTGGTAAGCTAAAAATATTAGACATCCAAGAAATTAGAAATATCGATTATTTTAATATGTGCTCTCATACTTGGCACTATTATTCTAATGTAAATCTATTGTTTGTTTGGACTTTTAAAACTGTAAATTGCCTACGTTGATATAACGTTGATAATTCGTGTAATGAGGAAACATCCAGGAAATAAAAAAGAGTTTGATTATTTATTAAGGAGGGACAGTATCCT